TCACTCAATGTCTATTGAGCATCTGCTATGTGCCAAGCACTAATCTACATGCTGAAAATATGGTGAACAAAACAGATGCAACAAAAACCATCCACCCCCTTCACAGCTTATGTTATGGCAGGGAGGCAAATCAAAAGTTTGAGATAGGGGGCTGGGGATGTGGCTCAAGCGGTAGTGCGCTCGTCTGGCATGCGTGCGGCCCGGGTTCGATCCTCAGCACCACATACCAACAAAGATGTTGTGTCCGCCAATAACTAAAAAGAGATAAATACTTAAAAAAAAAAAAAAGTTTGAGACAGTGGTGCATGCCTGTGATGTGGTGGAGGCAACTGGGTGCTCACAAAAGCCTAACTGAAATTTGAGTAGAAACTGAAGTTTTAATAATGCAAAATAATTGTGAGATCTTAAGGAGGCAGTGAACATGGGTCTAAGAGTCCAGAGAATAAAGTTCACGTAGATAGAGAAATGAAGGAATGGGTTAGGATTGTGGCTTAGTGGTAGAGTGCTAGCCTAGCACAAGCAAGGCCCTGAGTTCAATCCTCAGCACCACATAAAAATATTGTGTCCAAGTACAAATCACCTATACTCATTTTCTATTGTTGCTTTAATAAATTACCACAATAGATTTTTAAAAAAATTTTTAGTTGTTGATGGACATTTATTTTATTGACTTATTTTAATATGGTGCCGAGAATCAAACCCAGTGCCTCATACATACTAGGCAAGTGCTCTACCACTGAGCCACAACCCCAGCCCTAAATTTATTAAAATCTTAACAGTTCTATAGAAGGCCCATGTAGGACTAAAGTGAAGGTGTTGGCAGGCTGGATTCCTTGTTTCCTTGCCTCTTCTATGTTCCAGAGACTGCCCTTAATCCCTGGCAAATGGGTCCTTCCTCCATCTTCAAAGCCAGCAACATTGTATCTAACTTCAGCCAGGAAAGGTTCTCTGCTTTTAGAACCCATGCTGTTGGATCAGGTTCTCCCAGATCACTCAGGAGACACTTCCCATCTCAAAACTCTTAACCCCATTTACTTAATTCCTTTTGCCATGTAAAGTAATATTCACAGGTTCCAAGGACTTAGGACATGGACATCATGGGGGTGGGTGGGCAATGGGTGTGCACTTTTCTGCAAAAGAACTTTCAAAGAGGGAATAATCAACCGTGTCCTGTTAACAGGTCAAAAATATTATGAGAAGCAAGGCACAGTGGCACTTGTCCGTAATCCCAGCAACTCAGGAGGCTAAGGCAGGAGGATTCCATGTTCAAGGACAGCCTCAGCAACTTAGCAAGATGCAACCCAAAACAAAAAGAGCTGGGGATGTTATTCGATGGTAGCGCAACCCTGGGTTCAATTCCCAGTACTGGAGATTAAAAAAAAAAAACTAATGAGAATTGACTATTGGATTCAAGTGCCACAGAGGTTCTGATGGTGTATATATGGGAAGTTCCCATGGAGTTAATACCCTCATTTTAAGTGCGCTCAAAAGAGAAAAACAGAAAGTAGAACTTTGGCGTTTTGCTATGAAGGGCAGAAAAGAATAGTAGTGGAAGGTGTAGATGTGGGTTTAAACAAGGTTTTTAGAATGCAAGAAATAAGAACATGTTTGAAAGCTGATGAGAATGATTTAGCAGAAAGAAAAGATAATGAACAGGAGAAGGAATGCCTAAATTCGGGCCCTTTGAATACATAAGAAATGGAACCTAGTCACAAGAGGAAGAGCTTTAACTAAAAAAGATGGAGGCAGAGTGCTTGCCTAGCAATGTGTCAGGCCCAGATTCAATCCCCACCATTAGAAGGGGGAAAAAAAAATGAAGAAAAATCTGTAACTAAAGTGTAGCACAGATGCAGGTGGGTGGGTAGGAACCTGTGGAAGTTTTGTTTCTATTTTCTAAGCTTATGGGGTTGGAAACTGAGTGATGATGTATTCTAGTCTTCAAGGAGAATAGAAAATGGAAATAATGTAGTAGGACTATGAGATCTACAAGTCATGACAAAGACCAAATCAATGCATTCAGTTGCACAAAATTTAAATAAGGTAGGACACTGAACTTAACCTAAAGTGGAGTCTAACAGTATAATGAAACAAAGCAAGGCAATTTTATATAGCCAACAGTGATTATCACAATGGACCACAGAATTTAAGCTAAGTAATAAGGTTAAAATAAGATGAAAATTGGACAGGCAAAAAGATCAATGAATTATATGTAACACAGTGGTTCAACCACCCATTGTAACTGTTTATGTCTACATATCTGATTCCCCTCTCTAGACTGAGATACTCCAAAGTAGGATCCGTCTTACCTTTTAACTCTTAAATACTTTGAACACATAAGCTATCCAGATGTATAAATGCAAACTCATAATTAAAGGAAAATTTCCTACCCCCAAACCCTACTATATGTAAACTTGCTATTCTCAGTTGCTCTTCAAGGGTTTAAATAAAAACTTGCAATGCTTCATCAAAATTAATGCTTCATTAAAATTTGTTTAGGTGTTAAAAAAATCCTTTCAAATGAGACAAGATGCTGAATTCCCACTGTGGTGACCAAGAACTAAACCAGAAAAGTACCAGTTCTATCTCAACTATGGTTAAGTTTTCCCTTATTGAACACCTGGATGGTACAAAATCTTTGTACTTCCCAACCTCAAATTTCACCTCCTTGTAGTAAATTAACAGGCACAAAACAGATCTTCAGAATAGCAAGAGAAAAGGGGCGCAAATGAAACTCCATTTGGAGGTAGAGGGAAAAAWAATGCACAAAGAACGTGTAAAATATGTTTTATTGTTCTTTAAAAGGGTTCAGGGTTTGGTTTTAAATCAGGCTGCATACCCTTCATCA